TTGCATTTCCCTAATGCTAAGTGATGTTGAACATTTTTTCATATGCCTGTTGGCCATCTGTATGTCCTCTTTGGAGAAATGTCTCTTCATATCCTCAGAGATTATACTTTTTGTTATCGTATTAAATGCTCTGAAAAAAGTCTCTCAGTGAAGATATCTAAAAATATTCAACTCAGTGGCTATAAGGAACCCTTGGTTTTGCCGAGGAAAGGATTTGAGCTGCAGAATTCCTGTTTCTTCACTACACGAATGTGCTATAGGAAACAATTTGCGGAATATCGCTGTGAAAGTGAAATGCAATCTGTGGATAATTATTTGTCATAGAGGGACGTGAGGTCTAAAGAGAGTTCCTGGTACTAAATGAATGCAAAATTTAATACAAATATTGTTCAGAATCTGCTAGGCACTAAATGCTATGTTCAGTGTTGGGAATATAAAAAAAGAGAAAAGGAAAAGTCTAGGCTGCCAATGGTTAGAGCATTAAAATAGAGTGCTATTGTTAATTTTACAACAGATTTGAAATGTTTTATAAAAATCTTTAATTGTAATTGAGGGGCTAAGTGTAGGCTACGATTGGATGATGTCATGAAGAGAATATTAACTTATGACGGGCAAAAATAAGAAGGAAGGGCATTTCTGGCAAAGTAAAGAGGATAAGCCAAGATAGTTTAACAGTTTATTACGTATTCAGAAAAAGGTAGCCATATTTGCCTGGAACAAAAATAATGAAAGCAACAACCAAAATGTAGGGAAATGGCGGGGTAGGGCTGATGAAGTGAGAAAAATGCGAGCTTTGGGGCCTGACAAGCCTGAGCTGTCACTGCTCTACCTGTAAATGACCATGGAAAGATGATTTAATCTCCGTAAGGTTCAGCTTTCCCATCAGGATAATGAAGATAAATAATATTTAGTTCACAAAGTAAGGATGAAAGAAAAATAATATATGCAAAGTGTTCAACATAGTAGGGGCACTTAATCAATGTCAGCTCTCACTGTTCCTAGACAGAGAGGGGAGACGTGATGAACTTGCCCAGTTGTCAGGGGAAAGAGTTTGTTTTGTGGGCCATGGAGAGCCACTGAAGGATCCGGGCAGAGCATGGAGGTGAGGTGATTTGCCCTGTAGTAGGAAAGATGAACACACAGGAATGAATAGATGAAAGGAGACACGCAGCATCGCATCCTGATAGGAGAGGAGATGCACATAAATAGAGCGTTGGTAGTGTGGCCTAAACTTCTCAGAGTTTCAGAGGCAGAATTGATAGAACTACATTAGGTATGTACATGAGAGTGGGGAGTGAGGCAGGAAAGAGTGAAAAATGACACCAGCTTTTCTAGCCTCAGTATCTGAGTCGCCAGTACTACCAGGAACAGGAGGTGGAGCAGGAAGACAGAAGTAAGGAGTTCCATTCAGAGCTGCTTCTGTCTTCTATCATTTTCCTTCTCGCCTCTCACCTTTCTACAGTAAGTGACCTTTGAAGATCTGAATGTGGCAGCTCAGCTTCTAATTCCAGCAGTTCCTCAATTCTAGGGACCACTATACTTTGAATAGTGTGTTGGCTTATGACAAAGCTGTCATTGTGATCCTTGGTGTGCTGCTTCTAAGCTTTGTCTACTACTAGTTGGAAAGGTTAGTGTAAAGGGCTCCAAAGTCCGATACCAAACACTACCTAACATGACATTCACAGGTAGACACGTGGTGGCTTGCACTGTTGTACTCCTGAAAACATTGTTTGTTTTAGGCACAGTTGAAAGTAGATGCAAATTGAGACATTCTACTCAACCCCTATCTTTGTGCGTGTTTCTTGTTTTAATGTGCAGGACAGGAGAGAATTGGAAAAGATTCCAACTATGAGCAGGAGGGGAAAGTTCAGTTCGTGATTGACGCCGTCTATGCTATGGCTCACGCCCTGCATCACATGAACAAGGACCTCTGCGCCGACTACCGGGGGGTGTGTCCAGAGATGGAGCAAGCGGGGGGCAAGAAGTTGCTGAAGTACATCCGCAACGTTAATTTCAATGGTGAGTCTTCGCACATCCATGCTTTTAGGAACCCTGGGTTGGCATTCTGTTTTGTAAGTTACATATTGGATGATTATTTGCTCTTGGGTATGTGTCAAAATCTGGTTGATTAGATAATTTCAAATGATTGAATGAATGAATATATGAATGAGTAGTGAGTGAATGAATGAATGAATATTTGGGGAGTATGGTTTGTCCATATTTTCTTAAATAGAGAGATTTTTATACAAAGTCAAATTCTTCCTCAGTGAATATTAGTTCAGAACCATGGAAAAAATATACAAATCTATTAGTTATTTATGCTATCCATGTAGTTGTTTTTGTTTTCAGTCTTATAGTGTTTAGTGAAATATCTTCCAAAATTGCTTACATTCATTTCTTTCTCCCTCACCCTCTTCAGTGTGGTTGTTTTAAATGTATTCCTGTCTACATTGCATTTCATGTTATACCATGTGGTGGTTAATTTTATGGGTCAACTTGACAAAGGATGCTTAGAGAGCTGGAAAATGGTATTTCTGGGTGTGTCTGTGAGGGTGTTCCGGGAAGAGATTAGCATTTGATTTGGTGAACTGAATAAAGCAGAGAGCCTTTCCCACTGTGGATGGGCATGATCCAATCCCTTCGGGCCTGAATAGAACCAAAAGGCAGAAGAAGGGTGATGCCCTGTCCCTCTGCTTGAGCTGAGACATCCACCTTCTCCTGCCCTCAGGCATGGGTGCTCTCAGTTCTCAGACTCGCAGACACAGATGGGGTCGGTCTCAGGATACCCTGGGAAGATACAACATCATGTCCGAGATCTTACTGCCAAAAATATATAACCTCAATGTAATCATAAGGAAACATAAGACAAATTCAAATTGAAGGACACTACAAAATAACTAGCTAGTACTCTTCAAAACTATTCACATTGTGAGAGAGACAGATGGAGGAATCATCCCAGACTGGAAGAGACTAAGGAGACATTACTGTTAAATTCAGTGTGGGGACACTAATTGATCCTATACCAGAAAAAGGATGTTAGTGAGACAATGGAGAAATTCTATAATACAATTTGCAGATGAGTTTTAAATAGTATTATATCAATATTAATTTCCTGGCTTAGATAATTATATTATGGTTAAATAAAATGTTCTTGCTTCTCTGCTGATAAATAACAATCCATTTAAACCCACAACGTCATATCAACCTTCCAAGAGTAATCTAGTATTTGGATGAAGAGGAACCACTCCCAGTTTGCGGATCAACAGTTTTCTAGTTCAGATGGAGACAAAAATGACTATGTTGAAAACCAGAAATTTGGTTTAACTACAAATGATCTTTTTGTAGTTTCTTCCTGATCTTACAAAATCTCCTAAAATAGATAACTAATCCCCCCCCCAAAACAAAACAAAACAAACACATATACATTTCATGACTTATCAAACACTAAATTACATATACATATGCTGGGGTCAGTTTCTGGATATGCGTGACCATTCTTACATGTGACAAAAACATCGGTTAGAGAATGTTCTTGGTGATTCCTCCCTCCTTCCTCCAGATAATGCTTGTAGACTCATTTTGTCAAAACAGTCTTTCCATTGATGAGTCAGACTTGCTGAGCTTCTGACTAGACACAGGGCATATGCTTACCAAATGACTACTGTGTACCAGAAATTGTGCTAAGTACCTGTGTTGGCTTATTTAATATACAAAACACTAACATGGTTTAGATACTATTATGTTACCTTTTTTGAAAGATAGGGAAACCAATTTATAGGCAATTAAGAATCATGATATCCAGAGCCACACATCTAGGTAGTGATGATGCTACACTTGATACCTCGGGCACCTAACTCCATGGCCTGTTCTATTTAAGTGTCTGGGAGGAAGGGCTTGCTGCGTCATCCCTGCTGCTCCCTCTTAGAAAGGAGGCTCTGTGGGAGTTCACAGGCAGAGCCACATGTTTCTCTCATCACTGCACTCATGCTCTATGGTCAACATAATCTCCTTTTCTCTGAGGATTTTGTCCAGTTTTATGGACAGCCAGGAGACTTCTGGTTCCTTGGGCACTGTGACATTCATTGGTGGTGGGGCTCAACTGTTTTCTAAACCCATGCTAGATGGAATTAGTGGATTCTCTGTCATTTTTCAGTGATCAACTATTAGAGTGAAAAGAAACTTGTTATTTTTCACTCATTCAATTTCATGATTTTTATATAAAGAAATCAAATACTAGAGAGGAGAAAATATGTGTCCAAAAATTCACAGCTAGCGAATGACAGAGACAGATCTAGAAACCAAGTTTCTGATTAGTCCATTGTGAAAAATTTAGCCTTTCTTTGGGACTTTTTAAGAGGATTTGGGATTTTTTTTTTCTGAATAAGCTTAATTGTTCTCATCTGTTACTTAAGTAGAAAAAATTCTGTACCCCTAGGAGTTTTGCAGCAGACCAACAGAGTACAATTTAATAACTCTGACCTTCACATTTACCAAAGCATCAATTTAGGAAATGATAATAGAATGCCCTGAAAGTATTGCTACTGCTTCACCAAGTACTTAACCTCCTCTTATGTGCCAAAAGAAAAGATGGCTAATTCAGTCTTCATCACTTATAGCTATTTTTTTCCTGCATCCCAAATTAATGCAATGTCCTGAGCCTTAATTTGATTTTCTTATCTCTATGTTGGCCCATCTAACCAGATGTCAATACTTGTAGATGTAAATTTTAAAAATTTGTTGTCTTGGATAAAAAATGTTAGAGAATTGCCGTGTAATGAAGTCTTTAATCTGAGGTGTGTCTGTACCTAGATTTACTAGTTTCCAGAAGACTGGGTTGGGGTATACTTTGTAAAGATGGCACGTATCATGTGCTCTTTGTGAAACTTGAACTTGGCTTTCCTTCAAGAGGGAGATCTCTGTCCCCTCTCCTTGAATCTAGTGAGCCTGTGGCTTATGTGGAAGTGACACTATCTGACTTTTAAGGCATACAATTTGGTAGGGCATCTGCCTCATTCTCTTGGGACATCTGTATTGCAAACACAGATACCATGTTGAGACTAAGCCAAGAAGCCAAAAGATAGGCCACATGTGGGTGTTCTGTCCATAACCCCAGCTGAGGTCCCAGCTGGCAGCTGGCATCCACCATCAGACTGGTGGGTTTTAAGCTGCCCTAGCTGACATGAGTGGCCCAGAGAGATGCTCTCCCAGAGCCCTGTTCAAATTGCAAAATACAGGTTGTCAATGGAGCATGAAGGGTTACAGTGGTTTGTTTAGCGACACTGGATAACTGGAACACAAATCTGTGCAGCGTTTATGGAATCTGTGGTGAAATGAGAAAGGAAAACTTGTAAATCCATTCATGCATGCTTTGTCATCTGAGCAATCTAGATTCTGTATTCTCCCCTGTCCAGGAAGAAAGAGCTTTCATTCAGATACTCTAGTAGAGAAGAGTTCATATTTCAGTATGCCCTGTCATCCATCCTGTCAGTATTCCATCTTGTCAAGTGGCCCTGTCTCCTTTACCTTAGTGCATCTGTCTTCTGGCTCTGACACCTGCAGACATTTCTGCAGGTGATCCTGTCTTCTTTCATAACGTCTTTCTTTCTCTAGATTTCTTTGATTTTTTTTTAAATATAGACTTCATTAAACACAGTCCCTTTTTCTTTTTCAAGAAATTCAGAGATGATGTTCAAAAAGACTAATGGAGGAAAAAAACTGGAAATAATAAGCCAGTTGCTTTATAAAATCTATCAAAAAGGTCAAAGCCACACAATATGCTATTACAAGTCACCACTTAGATAAAGTATTCAGCTCTGCCGTCTTAATTTTTTTAAGCATGAACTTTAATGGGAATGAAAGGGGCATGACAAGACCATTTCTCCTAACAAAGACTGTAAGTAGGGAGAATGATTAGAGGGCGCGCCCATTCTGATGAACATTTAGCTGGTGAAGCCCCAGGCCTCCAATAGTCTTCTGCTGTCCTCTCAAAGACTATGAAAAGCTGATGTCATATTACTTAATGACTAGAAGCTGAAGAATTACAGCAAAACCCCACATGAGTCCTAGTACCCAATATGAAACAAAATAGAGTATCTGAACATTGATGCCTTCCTACAAAATGATAGGATAATGTTCTTGCTAATAACATGTAAAACACAGATTTTGTTTGTTCTCCTCATATACTTAGAAGGCTCACTGAAGGTAGAAAGCCAATACTAAAATCCTTTTTTTTTTTTTTGCTTATTTTTTTCTCTCTCCCTATACTGGAAAGTCTCATTTGAATTCCTATACACAAAGGGCTTCAGAGATCCCAGTTGTGATTAAGCAAGTGCCTTTGTGGGCTAGCAGGACAGCATCTAGGTAGAACACAGAACAGACACATTGAATTGGTGCACAGGCTCAGCCACTGACTCAAGCTGGTGAGGAGACCAAAGCTCTGATGCTCATATTGGGTTGTTGGAAAAGTCATGACATATTTTGTCTGTTTTTCAAAGGTCATTTATTTATATAAAGAACAAAGATCAATCAATGATATATTGCCCATTTTATTCGATAACCTTTTGCCATCTTTCAGTGAGCTTCATAATTCCTCGTTCATAGAAGGACCTGTCTTTATTTGCGAAAAACTGAACAAGGTGCTGATTTACAGCCTCATCTGAATTGAACATTATACCACGCAAGGAGTTTTGAAGAGAGCGAAACAAGTGGAAGTCTGATGGCACAAGGTCAGGCTAGTATGGTGGGTGTGGCAACACATCCCATCCAAGCTCCAATAATTTTTGATGGGTGATCAAACTTGTGTGTGGTCTCGCATTGTCACAATGGAACACAAGTCCTTTACAATTAACAAGCTCTGGATGTTTCTGGATGATGGATTCATTCAAACTGTCCAATTGCCAACAGTACACATTTGAATTGGTTGTTTGGTTCCTTGGTAGGAGCTAAAAAAACACAACACCTTTAAAATCCCACCACACTGAGAACATAACCTTCCTCTGATGAATGTCTGCTTTCCATGTCATTTGAGGCAAATCATCAAGTTGGGACCAAGACTGTTTTCTCACCACATTGTTGTAAACAATCCACTTCTCATCACCAGTTATCAGTCGCTTCAAGAAAGGATTGTTTTCCTCACGTTTAATGAGCATATTGCAGATGTTTATACGTGCCGTCAAATGAAATTCTTTGAGCTCATGCCAAACCCAAATATTGAGCTTGCTTACGTATCCCAGCTTCTTCAGGTGGTCATGAATGCTTCAATGATGGATGTTCAATGTTCCTGCAATCTTGTGTCATGTAACATGGGTTTGACTCGATCAATGCCTTTATTTTGTCGTCATCAACCTCGGTGGGCCTCCCTGACCGAGGAGCGTCGTTGAGATAAAAATCACCAGCACAGAATTTTGTGAACCATCGTTGGCACTGACGTTCTTGTAGAGCATTGTCACCGTAAACTTGATGCAACTTTTCACAAGCTTGATTCACGTTCTTCCCTTTATGGAAGTAAAACAGTAAAATATGGCAAAAATGCACTGTTTGGTCTTCCATCTTCAACTTGTAAAATCTCCAAAACTCAACCAAATAGCTCAATTTTTTTTTTAGAATGAAGCTAGAACTGTCTGTTGTCAAATGACATAGCAATTACGTAGATGTGAATGACTCTAGTACTTCCAAAAATGAACTAGAGCCATCTGTCGCAAACATGCATCATGACTTTTCTGACAACCCAATAGATCACTGCCCACTCTCAGAACGGGCTTTAGCCTGCTGTTTAGAAAACAAAAAATGTTTACACTGATAGAGAGATTTAAATTATATGCCAATTAGGAGATACAATTTTGGTGCATCAGAAAAGGCATTAGTCTGGATATTGGAAGGCATGAGTTCTGGTCCTGGGATATCAGCAAGTAAAATAATGATAAAAATAAAAAAAACTATAAAAATCATTAACATCTATTGAGCATTTATTATGTAAAGGGCAATGGGACTAAGGACACATAAATGTGTGTGCTTAATAAATACATAATTATTTTTAGTCCTTACTAACCCTATGAGTAAGTTATCATTAGTGAAAATCAGATGTAGAGGGAGATTGGATAATTTAGTAAAGGTCACCCAGATACTATTGGGTTGTTGGAAAAGTCATGACACATTTTTGCAACGAAAAACACAGAAAAAATATGTCATGACTTTTCCAACAACCCAATAAATGACAGGCCTGGAATTTAAACCTGTTCTAGGGGATTCCAAAGCCAGTTACTAGACACTATTTTAGTTTAATTAAGTGAGTGACCCTCAGGCAAGTGATTTCCCATCTCTGAACCTAAGTACTATACCTGCAAAATTAGAAGTTCTATGTTCTCTGTCTTCCACCACTGCCATAAAAACTACCGTAAATTTAATGGCTTGAACAATGCAAATTTATTATCTTACAGCTCTGTAGTTTGGAAGGGAGTCTGGCTGAGATCTCACTGGGCTTTTCTTAAAGTGAAGGCAGAGTTGCTTCCTCCCGGAGCCTATGGGGAAGAATTCCCTACATTTTCTAGCTTCTGAAGGCCACCTGCCCTCTTTGGTCAGACCCCTTCCTCACATCACTCCAACCTCTTGTTTTCATCATCACATCTTCTTCCTCCTTTGACTTCTGCTGCCTCTCACTTATAAGGACCATTCTGATTCTATTGCACCCACCCAGATTATCCAGGGTGATCTCCCCTCTCATGATCCTTAACTCAGTCAATGCAAATTCTCTTTTGCCATGTATGGGAACATTCACAGGTTGTGGAGATTAGGACATGGGCATATTTGGGGAGCCATTATTCAGCCTACCACAAGCTCTGGCTTATTTTTGGTTTGGTTTTGTTTTTCATCTTTAATACCAGAAGGGTCATAAAATCTTGTTCCTGACTATTGGAGGATGGTGTGGAGTTCTTTAGCTACCTCTGTGGTATGCCTATAATGTTGGACCCCTTTTCCAGTAGGGTTAACTTTCAGCACAGGAGTGCAACTTTGTATCCCTCTTGTGACCAATATATTGTCCTTTTATTGGACCCTTTTTCTGACTTCTTTGTGTTAAATGATCACTTGTGTGGGGTCACTTCTGCCATCATGCCTGCATCATTAGGGTTGGCATCTGTTTTTACTGTATTAAATAAGCATACTCTCTTCCAGTTAACCTGCCTTTGTCTTTCTTGCATCTGTGTCATTCATGTAAATGCTGCAATGACCCAAGTTCCACAGAAACTAATGACTGTGCTAACCAGAACTCTGCCACCATTAGTCTGGAATTTATAATCAGAATTCACAAAAGTGCTTAATTACCTAAGACTTACCCCACCTCTCCTTCTCCACCCAAAATAGCAAAATGAACTTCGATTCTCAGTGATTCTGTTTCAGCTTGTAAACCATCTGTAAACTTCTGGGAAAAGACAAGAAATAGAGCATTGATATTTACAGGGACTGTTAATCCAATATCAACCTAAAGGCAGGTCATCCACACACCCTGAGACACTAATACCTATCCTGTTTCCAAGGGATCCAAGGAAGAGAGGTAGTACTCAGTTACCAGGTTTTTGGAGATTCCTTTGAAAGTGTTCCTAAAACTAACTAAAATGCATGAGTTTGATTCTTGGTATATGGTTTGCCAATTGCTCCAAAGGATCTCTGTCTCTCTCTCTCTCTCTCTCTCTCTCTCTGTCTCTCTCTCTCTCTCTCAACATACTCTCAATAAATTTATTAGCCTTTCTAAATTGACTTCAATGTCTAGTTCTGCCCAAATAATTGCTTCCTTGCTTTCCTCTTAAGATGGACATTTTAAAGAAGATCCAAATGGGAGATGAAGAAAGAAACCAATATTTATTTAGCACCTGCCAGGCACACTGCTAAGCATTTTAGCATAGTTACCATATAAAGTAACTTAGAAAAAATCAGCCAAAAATATCTGTAAATGCAATCAGTATCCAAGTGCCTTTTAAATAAACTTTTTTGCTTGTTTGCTTAATGTTGTTTTAAAACCTCTGACATGCCCCTTTTTAAGTGTATTTGTTGATTTATTATTTTATAAATGGTTCTTTACTGATCACAATTTAGGTAGGTAGAAACTAAAACAGGACAGCTGAGTGACTCAGTTGGTTAAGAGTTAGCTTAAGAATGTGAGCTCTGAGCAACAGGGCCACCGGTTTGATTCCCACATGAGCCAGTGACACTGTGCCCGGGCTGAGCTGCCACTGAGCTGCCAACAGGGGGCAGAATGGCTCAGCTGGTGAAAGCACATGCTTCTAACAAGAAGACTGCTTGTTCAATGGTGGGCTATGCCCACCCACAACTAAGACTGAACTCGGCACCTTGAGCTGAGCTGCCATCCGGATGGCTCAGTGGATAGAGTTTGTGCTCTTAACAACAAGGCTGCTGGGTTAACTCATGCATGGGATGGTGGTTACGCCCACCCACAACTAAGATTGAACACAGCCTTGAGCTTAGAGGCCACAAGCTGCCAACGGGATGCCAGATGGTGACTGGCGCCCTCCACAATGAAGATTGAAGAACAACAACTTGGCTGGTCCCCTTCCCCAATTCCCCAACACTGTTCCCCTCCCCCAATTCCCCAACACTGTTCCCCTCCCCCAATTCCTCAATTAGAAAAGAAAATAAACTAAAATAATGATAATAAACGTAAGGTTGTCTCTGGAAACAAATGCATTTAATTTTTATTACTCACCATTAAAACATTAGAATAAAATATGATATATTGAGAAGTAGAACAGTTCAAAATGGGAGGCAGTTTGTCTTCACACCTCCTCTAAGCAACACCTGATGACCTTCACATGACTTTCAGGGACCATTTGGGGAACCCTATGAAACAATGGCTTTATGTACTAGCTACCTTACTCATCAGCAGATCTCTAGACCATCACTGGTGGCACAAGAGATAGAAGGAATCTTGCTTTACTCTAAAATTTGTCATTTTCTTATCTTCCTTAGGTAGCGCTGGCACCCCAGTAATGTTTAACAAGAATGGGGACGCACCTGGGCGTTACGACATCTTTCAGTACCAGACAACAAACACCACGAACCCGGGTTACCGTCTGATTGGACAGTGGACAGATGAACTTCAACTCAATGTGAGTTCTACTTGTTCCTCTTCCTTTGCTTGTGTGATGAATAAACAGGCTTTTAATTTGCTCAGTTAGGCAAATGTTTTTTTTAGTATGTTTGTGTACATCCAGGAGTGAACATGCACCTTGTTACAGGCATCAGCAGGGACTGATAATCAATAATAGAATGATAGTGATGACATTGATGATGATGATAGGAAATATGTGTTGAATTTATGCCAGACATTATACTCAGCACCTATGTGAATAGTCTGTAATCTGAGGCTCGGATTGCTTAATTAGCAAGTGACCAGCTAATAATCCTTTAATATGTTCACAAGACCCTTCCCTTGGTGAGACCTCCCTTCCTGCTTCCCTCCCCTCTCCTTTCCTTCTTTATTCTGTGGTGCTTTTTTTCTTTGAATGCACTTTAGAGTCAGTTTGTTTTACGTTGAGTTTCTTTGAGTAACAGCAGCTTTAGCCATTCCATAACCTTTCCTCCTTTCTATGAAATGGGAAATTGAGTAAGCAGCCACTTCCTCGTGCAAGGCTATGTGAAAGTCCACCTGGCAGAGGCCATCAGGAGCTCATCTGTAACACAGGAGGTTCTGCAGGAGGTCTCTTGCTATGGCATTGAGTTTGGGGAAGACGTTCACCAGGGATGTCGTGGCAGGGTACATTGGGTGGGGCTTCCTTGATCCACAAATATAACTTGAGATCACAGTATATAGAAAGTAGTCAAACACTGCTAGGTTAATTTAACTTGCTGCATGAAGTGCAAGCTCCTGCCAGCAAAACCCTGGAGTCTTCAGAATGAAGGAGTTGGGACGGGTTGGGATTGATTGTAGGTTTTGGGCTGAGTCCTGAGATTCTAAGATGGTTCAGGGAAGCAGAGGCCCATTTTGAGTTGGATCCTCTCAGGAAGTGGAGACAAACTGATGGTTGTATGTCTTGTTGACTTTTCTCTAGGAGATGGGAGGATGAAAGTAGGCAAAAGTTGTCATTAACAAAGAAACAGCAGGCACTTATGTGAACTGGAAAAGGGAAATTTTAGTTATTGTTTTGATTACAGAGTGGCCTTGCTTCTGTCTGTCTTCAGGCATGATGGCAGAGTGGCCTTGATTTTGTCTCATTCCACCACAGTCATGGAGGAGTGGCCTTGTCTGAGTATCATTTATATTCTGCTGAAGTTTATGTCCTGTTGGGAACGTGCCTGCTTAGCTGTGACCTCACAGCTGTAAGGCCATTTGGTTTTCCTTTCCTACTATTTTAAGTTGAGCATTCAATAGTGTGCTCTAATAACACTTGCAATGCCCTATTTGGAATTATTTTGTTTTAAGTGGCTATACCTGTCTTCCAGGGAGTGAAAGTCACTGGATGGAGTACCTCCACCCTGGCTGAGCCCAGCACAGCTGGACCCCGGCACTCGATGCCCCCGCCTCTTTTTCTCTCCTGGGAGGGAGCTTAACTAGGCGAGGCCCCAGCCTGGTGGCTGGGGTCCTGAGGCTGAGGGACAGAGGGCAAAAGTCAGAGAAGGACGGGTGCTGCAGGGCCTCTGCTGAGATGTGCCGGATGGGGTGACGCTTCAAGAGGTTCTGCAGCAGGCCCCTCCCTGTGGCATTCAGCTTGGGGATGACGTTCACCAGGGACATTGTGCCTGGGTCCATTGGGTAGGGCTTCCCAGCTCCATGCCTTGAAATCATAGTATAGAGAAACACATGATTTTCTATTGTCCACAGGGCCCTGAATTACTCTAGGTTCTCCAGGGAAACAGGATAGATAGATGGTTGATAGATAGATAGATGATAGATAGATAGATAGATAGATAGATAGATAGATAGATAAATAGATAGATAAGGAATTGGTTCACACAGTTATGAGGCTGAGAAGTCCCAAGATGTGCAATCGGCAAGCAGGAGCCCCAAGAAAGCCGGTGGTGTTAAGTTCTAGCCTGAGTCTAAAGGCAGGAGAAGGCTAATATTCCAGCTCAAAAGTAGTCAGGAAGACACAGGATTCTCTCTCATTCAGCCTTTTTGTTCTGCTTTACTCACTTTACCAATTCAGATGTTCATCTCACCCAGAAACACTCTCACAGACACACCAGCGTAATGTTTAACAAAATGTCTGGGCACTTCGTGGCCCAGTCAAGTTGATACATACAATGAACCATCACAGGCCCTATCCCTGAAAATTCCGTCTAATGTCTCTTCCAGAGCTGGGAAATATGCCTTTATCAGTCTCCACCTTAGCATGTGCTCTGGAAATTATTAAGAGCAAGGCTTCTTGAGGGTGGAATACAGAATTGATGTCTTCAGGGCTTGGGTCATGGTTTGGGTCATGGTTTCTAGGAATGGAGAATATACATAAAGGGGGCGGGGGCTGGGAGAAGCCACCACAGGCCAATTACTTTACTTGCACATGCGCTGCCTGGCTTTGCTGGTACCCGTCCAGCTCTCCCTCTCCTGAGGTCCACCATCCAGGTGAGCTGACACAAAGGTTGGGTCCAAATAACTATGATCTGGCATCCAAGTATGGATGAAGCCAGACCATGGAGATGAATGCTAAGAGCCAAAACCAAACAAGAAACTAAAAGTACCCTGAACCAAGCAAAAAGAAAAAATAAAAACAAAGCAAAACAAACATAAATAAACAAACAAAACCTAATAGGTAAACCCAAGAGGTATTAATCAAAAGCACAATCAAAGCAGCATAACTTGGCTGACATACCTAAAGTGTGTTTTTATTGGATCTCGCCTGTGTGACACAAAGATGAGTCAGTAGAGAATCAAGATTTGTGTACACATGTGAAGTGCTCAGGAGATGAAATGATACATTAATCTCTTCTAGCACAACCCCTGCACCGATGGTTAATTTCTGGAATGTGTAATTTGTCCGTGTACTCAAGAATTCCCAAACAACGTTCACCAACTTGAGACATCATCTGGAAGTTCTAAAGCCCACTATTTTTAAGAACCAACATTCACACTGATTTTATTTTATTTTTTTGTTTACTTTGATTTTACCCTTCATAAGAACTGTATTTGATTAGCATTAACAAGTTTGTTTTTTTATTTT